TTCCCGAGGCTGCTGTGGGATCATGCGGGGCAGGGGGGAGCAGGACAAACCCCTGGTGAGCAGCTTGCACCAGACTGTCCCGCTCTGGGCGTGAACAGAGCTTTCCTATGACTGTGTCAAGGATCCCCAGTGCTTCCAGCTCGTTACTTTAAGTGGAAGAAGTGGGAGCAAGGCAGCGCCTGGAGCTGGTTGTTCTTCTCCCCGATGGACTCTCCGCACATGCCGCAGTACAGCTCCATCTCCTCCACGCATTCGTGGAACTTCACAACGTGGTCACGCAATTCTCGCTGCTGCCCCTTCGTGCGATAGATCCTTTCACACAGGCAGTGGAGCTTCAGCAGGCCGAGCTGCACAGGGAGGGCAGAAACATAAGGAAAACAAACAAGATGAAGACGGACCAGTAACGGAAGGAACGGAAACCACTACAGTCCCATCGATCATCAGCACAGAAAGCTGCTCAAGAGGTGGGATCAGTTATAAGGACATTTGTTCCTTCGGCGCTTCATGCCATTACCCCTGCTTCTCTGTATCACAAAAGGAGGCACCAGCTCAGAGGCGCTCTGTGGCTCTTTCACCGAGGCGGTTTTCCGAGCTCTCTGCGACATGTCCTGTGTTTCACTTCCCTTTGCCTCCAGCCAGCACACAGTTCAGCTGCTGCTCAGGGCGATCATATTTCTCAAGGAACCCCTAGCTCTCTGCTTCTTTCATTTTTACTGCTTCCCATTCGCCTTCGTTTATCCCCCTGTGACTCCTCTCTCCCTTTTCAGAGTTGTGCACTCACTGATGATCACCTGCACAACTGCCCACAACCAAACACTTCAGAGCAACTGAACACTTCAGTGCTTGGCTTCTTCAGTTGCCCGACAGAAGACTACAGGCAGTGCTGAAGAGAAGCTGTAGGATCCTACCTTGTTCCCCAGTCCCTCTGCCAGCTCCTGTGCCTTTTCAATGCTTTCCAGAGCCTGCGAATGGAGAACACACATCATCAGTTCTCAGTCTGATACATCCAAACCAGACTTGTATGAGTTTATTAAAAGAAAGAGGCAAAGAGCATTTGGATAAAAACACATCACTGCAGCTCTGGAGATGCAAGACAGGTGACTGGCAGATCTTCCTCCCTTCCCAAAAGTCTGTCCATAAGGAAAGCTTGGTTTCTGACAGACCACAAATAACCCAAGAGCTACACTTCTGTTGTAGCTGCACAGCGCAGAGCAGGGCCGTGACGTTGGCAGAGGCTGGGGTTTCCAAGCCAAGGGTCCAGACCTGCTTAAGCTCTGCCATACACGCTCACTGAGGTGGGGATGGAGCACGAGCAAAGCAAGGCTTTTCCCCATCCGGCCCTACAGGCTCAGTAATCGTTGGGCAACTCATCTCGCTGGCACAAGAGGAGAGGAAAGGGATCAGCACCACCGACACACCACACTTGCGGGTTTTTTCTGCTGTTCAAATATCCAGTTTGTCATGTGATGTAGGAGTGTTCTGCCAGCCATCTTTTTCAATCTGAAGGAAAGTATTTAAGCATAGTGGCTGTTACACCAAGGGAGTCCCTACTTTCCCCTAGAAGCCCCAGCGTTCTGCACTGTTCTGAGCATCACTGTCCTCCAGAAATTGAGTTCCTGAGGTCTGCTTCAGATTTGTCCAAGGGGAAGAAGAGGTCTCCCTTGCGATGCAGCAGTTCTCAGGGGGAACACTGTAATAGTAATTCCCACCCTATAATTTGGCATTAATGGTATTGCAGGAGAAGAAGACCAGGTGAGATCAAAGAAGGCACCTGGAATGCAGAGGAGGTGCCATTAGGCCTGTGGTGGCAGCAACAGCCCAGGATAAGGAACTTGTAGGAGAGGGACACGGGAACTGAAGGCTCACAGGTAAAACATAACCTAGAACCACGCAGAGGAAGAGTGACTGTATGCTGGGGAACCTTGAAATCAATGACCGGGAATAGGAATCAAGGTGAAGCACGTGGGGTGGGGGAGGAGATGCTGAGCAGTCCAGGGGGCAGGTTGTCTTGGGAAGGAACATAAGACAGCGTGGGAGTTTGGGCACGCAGGCTGTGGCAGCAGCACGGACTGCATGCGTGTGAGCTGGACTGACTGACCGAGGAGAGCGGGAAGACAGCGGAAGCCAGGACACGGGTAGCAAACTGTTTTATTGGGTGGCTGATATTGGGCTGAGCAGCGTGAGAAACGGGAACTGGAACTGGCAAATTGAGGAGCAGCCTTGGTTGAGTATTCAGGGCTGTGACACAGGAGGAGGTTGCCCTTGGGACTCCCCAGGGCAGACTTCCCTCTAATGCCCGGGACGAAATACAAGACTCATCTGTTCATTCTCTCGGGGGTTTTGCCGAGATTAGGACTCGGTGCAAAGCCCTCACCAGGCTCTCACAAGTGAGACCTGCTTGTGGTACCAGAGCGTGGCAATGGCTGGGGATGGGATCAGTGGACGTGGGGGTTGACGAATGCTCTAAATATTCTCTTAGGTAGAGATCTTCCCCTGCTGTGTCTTGCCCCATTCTGTTGGATATTAGATATGAGGCTGGGTAAGGATTACACTGAGCAAAGCTTTTAAGTCCGCAGTTTCTCCTTCCATTGCAAACGTAGCGCTTAACTTACGGAGACTGCGAGGTCTATCTCACCCAGCTGACTCCCTGCTGTAGGCAACTTGGATGCTGACAACACCTCAAACCTGTCTTTTCTGACAGAGACCTACTTGATTCCCTAATATCTAGGACGCTTTGTTTGAGTTGAAATTCTTTGTGTCTCCTATGAGTGGTAAGAATTGAATCTACATCCTATTGACACCCAAACCAGCAGCCTGCTATGGCACAGTGCAGGCATACCCAGTTGTTCAGCACTAGTTCAAGGCTAGCCTTTGAGGAATATTCCTGCAGTGCAATCTGGATTTCAACATACATACACTGCCTGAGCATTTTCAGATTAAGTAGTGTCACCCCCTTGTACTATATGGACTGATTGTCTATTCTCAAATAATTTTCTCCTCTCGTTTCTCTGTTTCACATCACGGTTTAAATACCTTTAAAGTTTCTCTAGGAATTTGATGCCAGGTTCTGTCTGCAAAGCACACGGTGGTGCTGCAGAGCTGTTCAAACATCCTCACTGTCACCACGAGCGTAGTTACGCAGTTGAAAAGTAGGCAGTGGAATCTATTTCAGAGCATAACCACAAGCTGATTGGTAGAAAAGCAGGAGCAGGCCTCCTCCTCTCAGCGCTGGTTTCTCAGTGTAGCGCTTAAAGTCATCAGGATTGACTAAGGAGCCAATTCAGTAAGTCAGTCTGACTCAGACTGGATGTTCCCACTCGGTAACAGATTCCAGGCTGAAGGGAACTATTAGGAGAAATGTAACTGTTACAAGCGGACCCCTCTGGCAGAACCAAGGGGTGCTGGTCTCTTCTGCACTCTGATGGGCGTATGCACAGCTCAGAGAAAGCCTGTTACACACTGATCTAGTCTAACAAGCTTCTGTATGAGTTTGTAACTGACCTTGTCCAGCTCCTTCTGGATCATCCAGCACTTGGTCACTCCCAGCAGCACCTGGACCAGGCCCAGGCGGTTTCCAATCTCGGTCATGATGCTCATGGAGGAGTCGTACCGAGGGAAGGCAGTCTGCAGAAGCAGGGAGGAAAACACGCGCTTGGCTCTGGCCTGCTTCTCCCACCCTCTTGCTATCCCCTCTGCCTCGGCCTTCCCGGCAGGAAGGAGCTGTACCTGCACGTCTCTGCGGCTGCGATGGATATCTGCAAAACACAGCAGACACAGCGCTTGCAGAGGCCGGTCACCGTGCTGCAGGGCAATCTTCATGGACTCCTGCAAGAAATTGTCCTCGGTCAGGAGAAGAGCCCGTTCCTGGTTCAAACCAGCAGGGCTGGGACCGCGCGCTCCAGCCGCTCCCAGGGCAGCTCCACAGAACAGGCAGTCGTTTTAAAGCAAGTGAATTTCTCGCCAACCGAGAGCCACTCACAGACCCCTGGGGCCACTGGAATCACAGCTCCGAGGCTGGGAGGCAGCAGGAACATCTCAGCCAAGCACGAAGGCCCTGGTATCTCTCTTCCCCACCGCCCCGTGGGCAGGATGCCCTTGCAGAGGCCGCCAATGGCTCTGCACCTGCCTCCCCCCCGCACCTCGCAGCAGTCCATCGCATCTGCCAAGCGCCCCAGTTTCCGATAGGCCACTGCCATGTGGTACTGGCTCATCGCACGGTACTTCAAGCTCCAGCCCTTTCCATAATCATTCACCAGCTCGGCTGCTTTGCAGGGGAAGAACAAGGCTTTCTCGTAGTCCTGTAAGGCAGACAAAGCACACAGACAGCAGTTACAGAAAAATAAAGCAAAAAGAATAGAACAGCCCTGCAACAGCTAGCAGATCTCTGTACATCTTTCAGCTCCTGCTGCTCCTCTTCCACATGCCCTGTTTCACCTGGTGTTCTCCCTGGATATCAAACTATGGAATTGCCATATGCTGAATTCATATTACTCTCTGGGACAATGACGTAAGAAATGAATTTTATATAGTGTGTCATCAACTTTACAGGAACCATTTACCCTCCTTTATAACCAGAGACTGAAAACCTTCTCTGCTCTTACATCATCTCTGCTTTCAACACCTACATGGAGCCCACATGTTGTCTTTATGATGAGCCAGGATCTCCAAGGGACTGGTTACCCATTGTTGCAAGAAACAGGAACAAAGAATCATGGCCTCACCAAATCCATGGGAAGTAATAATAAAACGTATTTTCATTTTTAAGCATCTTTCCGCATTAAAAGCGCTTCAGAAAGAAAGCTTGTTTTGCAGCAAGTAAACCTATTATCTAAATATCTAAAACCATTCTCAAGTAAGTTACATGAGACTGCAGAAGTGACAGTCCTCATACCTTCTAGTTCTCCAAGATGCACAAAGGAAGCTACAACTTTTAAAACTTCCTTTCTCCCTTTTTATTTCATACAAGTATCCAACACGATGTTCTTTTCTTTGGTTTTGTTAATATGAGGGAAGTTTACTGATAGCTTTTAACAATTCAGCTGGTGAGTCTTCCATTAGTGTCAAAAATCAAGACTCTGTGAGGAAAACCTATTTGCTGCCGTTTGCAGTAGAAGCTAGAACTGACAAATCACCCCCACCTTCAGTTCCCACCCAGTTTTGCTCATAGAAATAGCTGCGTGCTTGTGACGGCAGCAGAAATAGGAAATGCAAGAGTTCTGGCTGCCAGCTCTGCGTGCACAGTACCTCCTCTCTGCTGTGATCTTCTTTGCAGCGAAAGTTTGATCTTTTTGACCCACAGGACCAGTCACAGCTGCTTCTGCTGTGCTGTGTGAACATCACGCTAATCCTCCCACCCTTACTGCAAAGGAGAGCGCTCAGCAGGGACTTTGCAGAGAACAGATTTTAGCTTATGGCGCTCTCTCCCGTACCTCCCCGCCTACAGCAAAGAAACAAGCTGGAATTCACACCGTTCCCGATTCTTTCCTGAATCCCCGAGGCACTCGCCCTTCCGCCCCGTAGGTCACCGCACCTTGACCTGGGCGTAGAAGCTCCCGAGGCTGCAGCAGACGCGGCACTCCAGCATCTTGTCGTCGTTGTTGTGTGCGTAGCGTAAGGCTTTCTCAAAGCACTCCAGAGCCTTCTGGAAGATGCTGAGGCCCAGGAAGGCGTTGCCCATGCTGAGGCTCACCTGGCCGTTCAGCTGCAGGCTCACGGCCGTGCCCTGCATGTTCAGGCACGTCTTACAGTAAGAGATTGCTTTCTGGAATTCACAGAGTTTCTCGTTGCTGCGAGCCAGGTTTAGGTAGCTCTCTGTAAGGTAATCCGGGTCCTCCAGCTCCCGTGCTGTATCAATCTGTACCACTGCAAACTTGAAGTAGAAAAGACAGTGTTTATGAAAAGCACGTGGTTTCCTTACACACACAACGCAAGCACCCTGCACTGGAGCAGCGGCTCCTCTCTGAGAAGGGCAGAGAAGTCCAGCAGCACAGGCTGAGAAGCATCGTATACCCTGAGTAGGTTGTCTGGCAGTTTAAGAGGCCCACGAGCAGCTTGAAGAGACCTCTGCCCCTCTCCACACACCCTCCAGGGCAAGGACGATGAATCTGGCTGGTGGTTAGCAGGAAAAAGCGGTTCAATAGCCCTGAAGAGAAGCAGGTGAAGCAGGAAACATCTGAAACGACGCAGCTCAGTTTTCTCTCACTCGGTTTAATTTATTTCACTTTCTTTCACTCAGTTTAATTTATTTCACTTGCTTTGTATTCTTAAGATATTAATGTACTCTATTAATAAAAGAAAGTGAGCAAGCTACTTCTTTCAACGGTTCTTTACTCCCAAATTGCAGTCTTGGCAGTTTTTGTTCTATAACCTTCAGGATTCATTGCACACAGTTCTCTTAAATGACTTGAAATCTCTTTCCTTTAGACCACCACCTCTTCTAAACACTGACTCTTTTGTGTTTTGCGATGAACCAGGCATGCTGAGGGCTTCAGTAAGTTTTCAGCAATTTTCTCAGTATGTGTTTTCATTAGAGTTGATCAGTTTGGTTTATGGATAGCAATTTCCAAGGGCACCAATCACTTCCTTTTTGTATAGTGGCAGCACATAAAAATTTGTGCTGGTAGAACATTTTATGTTCTTCTCAAAATAATAATAAAAAAACCCCAACAAATCCATAAATTGCACGGTTTTGAGTGTATACGCTCTTAGCTTCCTGAGCACTTTAGGAAGGCGGCTATATGGACCTAGTAATGTGCATTAGCTCGTGCTTCCCCACACTCTTACTTTTGCACAAGTCGTTATTTCCCGATTACCACAGCCTCTTT